TATCTCTTACCCTCTGCCATCTCCCACTCTTCTACCGCACTGTCTCTGGTATCTATGTTTGCTTTCTGTACTTTTCCCCCACATTTTATTGAGTCACTAAGGATCGTAATTAATCTGAATATTTTCATAGCAAGCACAGCTGATATTTACATTTCCATGAACACAAGTCCAACTTTAGGCATAAGCCTCAATGAGTAGAATGAACATCCTATAAAGTAGCACCTAGTTGTGGCTATATATCTTACTGCTGTCATCAAATAGGTATTTTTAATGCTTTTTTTTTTAATTTCAAGAAAAACAGGTTTTTTTCCTGAAACTTTTTTTTTTTTTGAGAGATTTTCACTATAGGGCGCGTGCGCTCACCAGACAGACAGAGAGAGACATTAGAGACAGAAAGTGAGAAATCACCCCCCAGGGGGTATGGTCACGCCGCCATCCCTTCTCCTCCATTCTCCTCTTGGGATCTTGGGCACGCATGCACATGCGCCCGGCGTGAGTTTTAAGCCACCGGGTCCAGGACGCGAACCGCGGTTGACTACGTTGGATTCCAGCGACATAGCCATTATGCTAACTGCTGGTTCCCCCTGAAACTTTTTTAAACTTAATTTACATTCTTTCTCTAAGCATAATCACAGCATACAAAATGTGATTTCCCATTCAGAATATACTGCATAGTGGCTTATTCTGCATATTATTATCAAAATTTTTCTATTACTAGTTTCTAGAAATTTTTTACCCCTATTTCTGAGCCTCTGTCCTTTTTCACCCTCTTCTCACACTATCTCTGGTGTCTACAGTTGTCTTCCATCCCTTCCCCACACACACACACATTGTATTGATCACACAATTTCTTAAATAACCTAACTACTTTCAATAGCCAGTTCACTTGGTACTATTAAGAAAACCAGTTTTATCTTAAATCAAAGAAATGCTAAGGAACTTTGTTTAAAGTCAGAAAACAGGTTAGGATTTTGTTCAAATTGTAGGTGCATGAACCTATCCATATTTCAAGACAGGACACAAATCCTTACAACCAGGTAATAAAGTCTACAAGAAGATCAGCAATATTTCTGTTGTGGTTCAATTTTCCTGATTAAATTCTGGGATATAATATTCAGCTCCAAACTTGTCCCTCAGATTAGGTTGGCCACTTTCTTAGTTTTTGAATTCTTATTTCTGTATGCCTGTATTTTATTTTCCTGATATAGCACTCCCTTGAGAATTTCTTGGCAATCTGGTCTGGTGCTGGTAAATTCTTGCAGGTTTTGTTTATCTGAGAATGTTCTTGTCTTTTCTTCCCACATAAAGGATAATCTCGCCAGGTACAGTATTCTTGGCTGAAATTGCTTTTCTCTTAACACTTTGAATATATTTTCCCATTCTTTCCTCGCTTGCATTGTTTCTGATGAGAGGTCTGCTGTTAGCCTGATGGAATATCCTTCATAGGTAACTTGATGTTTTTCTCTTGCCAATCTTAGTATCTTGTTTTTGTGGTTTTGATCAACCTGGCTATAATGTGTCTTGGAGAAGATCTTCTTGGGTTGATTCTATTTGGGGTCCTTTGTATTTCTTGGGACTGGATCTTTGAGTGCCTCTCTAGGTTTGGAAAGTTTTCTTGCAAGATTTCATGGAATAGATTATCAATGCCCTCATGAGTCTCTTTGCCTTCTGGAATGCCAATTATCTGGATGTTTGGACATTTGATGATATCTAGTACTTCTCATATATAATTCTCAAATTTTTTGGTGATTTTCTCAATCTTTGTGGTGGATTTTTCTAGGCCAGCAATTTTCTCTTCTACATCTGAGTTTCTATTTTCTATATGATCTAGTCTGCTTTTAATACTTTCAAGGGAGCTTTTTACTTTCTATATTATAGTCTTCATCTCTAACAGTCCTGTTTGATTCTTTTTTAAAGTGTGTAATTCCTCTTTTAGATCTTGAAAGAATTTCCTCACCTCCTGGAACTCGTCAACTTCTTTCTCCTTTCTCTTCTGCAGTTCATTGTCTTTCTTCTCTTCCATCTCTGTTATCTTCGCCATTATGAATGCTCTAAATTCTTTATCAGACATTTCCATGATTTCCATTGAACTGCTTGTGGATAAAGAGGAGTTGTTCTTTTCCCTTGGAGGAGAGGTATTTTCTTACTTTTGCATATTTCCTGTGGTCCTGCGGTGATTTCTAGTCATCCGATGGATGGTGTGTTTCTTCCTAATTCTTGAAGTTCGATCTGAAGGTTCAGGAGTAAGCAGAAAGAGGTGATCTGGAATCTCTTTGCCGTTCTGCTGTGATCGCTTTGTGCAGCAAATTCAGTAGATATTGAAGAATATGTTAACCCTAATAGTATTTGGATGTTTAGCTACAGTGCCCATAGATCCACCCTGAAATGACTAGTTTGCAGGAGCCATGAGAAATTCATTTTTTAAAATTTTATTATAAAATAAAATCACATACATCACTTAGTTTGTAAAGTGAATGTTACAACATGACTACATTAAACTCATGGAGCTCAGGAGAGCTTTTTATTTTATCTCCTCTTTGTTACCCTATTGACCCTTTAAGTCTGAGGAAATTTATCCTTTATTTTGAATAATTTTCCTTCTTCTGGTATTTATAGTACATTTAAAATACTTCTTCTATTTTGCTAATGAGATTAATTTCCTTATTTGGTAGTTTTTATTATGATAAAATCCGTGTAAGATAAAAATTTATTCTTTAACCATCTTTTTTATGAAGGGGTCTGGGTTTTTTCTTTTTCCTTTTTTTTCTTTAACTATCTTAAAGTGTACAATTCAGTGGCATTAAATATATTCACAATGTCGTATAACTATCATATGAATTTCTCTCTACCTCCACAGTTTAGAATAATGTCACTTTATTCAACATTACACTGTAAGTACTAGCTAGGACAATTACACAAGAAAGTGAAATTAAAAGCATTCAGATTGAAATGGAGAGAACAAAATTTTATATACTTTTAGAAGATCTAGGATAAATAAAATCCAAGGGTATAAAAAACACAATGTTAGAACTAATAAAGTCTAACAGCAAGGTGGAAGATCAGTATACAAAAATCAATTGTACTTCTGTATAGCAGTAAGAAACACATTGAAAATTATATTAAAGAAACAATTCCATTTATAATAACATCAAAAAGAAAAACATTTTTAGGAATAAATTTAGCAAAATAAGTACAAAGTTCATGCTCCAAATACAACAAAATTTTGCCTTGAAATACATTAATGAAGACATAAGTAAATGGAAATACATTCCAAATGCAAGGATCAAGAGACAGAATATTGCTGAGAAGGAAATAATCTACACATTAAATGTAATGTGTATGAAATTACACATTGTGTAGTTTAATGACTCTACACACATAAATGTAATTCCTAACAAAATATCAGTTGGCTTTTTGTTGGAGATATTGACAAGCTCATTGTAAATTACATATGAAAAATCAAGGGATTTAGAACAACAAAAACAATCATGAAAAAAAAAAAACCAGAATAAAATTTCAGGATTCATATGTCCCTATTTTAAACTGTATTATAAAATAGTAGTAATAAAATTAATGTGATACTGATATAAGGATAAAATTGACAGTCCATGAAATACACAAATTAGAAGAATAAATAAGTGAACTCAGCACCATCACTTGATATATCCACAAATGTAAGTCAATTGTAGTTTTGTTTTGTTTGTTTTGCTGTAAGGCCCATGTATGTACTAAAGAAACAGAGAGAGATAGAGGGAAAGTGAGAAATCACCCCCCCCCAAGGCCATACCACAATTTATTCTCCTCCATTCTTCCCCTGGGATTTTGGGTGCGCACACACACACACACACGTACCTGGTGTGATTTTCAAGCTGTCAGGTCTGGGACTTGAACTGAGGTCATCCATGTGGGAGTTCAGTGCCTTAACCACTACTCTACCTGTTGGCCCCAAGTCAGTTGTATTTATATATCAGAAACAAGTTGAGTATAAAACTTAAATAATTATAACATTTACAACATCACACATATGTGAATACCTAGGGAAAGGTTGAAAGAAAGATATGTAATTCTGCTATTCTGAAACTATAAAATGTATTGAAAGAAAATATCTAGATAAATTAAGATATATGACATGTTCATAGATTGAAGATACAATATTTTAAAAATAACATCACTCCATAGAAGTTTTCTATGTTCCTACCAAAACAAAACACCAGTAATGTGTGTGTGTGTGTGTGTGTGTGTGTGTGTGTGTGTGGTCAATAAAAATCTTAAATTT